CCCTAAACCCTAAACCGTGTGGGACTTAGGGCTGAGGGTTGGTGGCAGCCCTGATGCAACCAGAAGGTTCTTTCGGAAGCCCGCCTCAATCCTAAGCCCTACCTGAACCCCAAAAGTATGTGAGCTATAGTCTAAACTCCTTAAAAGGGGATTATATAGGGGGCTACTATAGGGCTTATTAAGGGGGATACTAGGAGTTTAGACTATAGCTCCTTTTGGGCCATACTTAGGGGTTTTGGGCCATTATTTTACATACTTTTGGGGTCCAGGTAGACCCTAAACCCTCAACTCTTCTCGCCACACCTGGAGTTGGGAGTAGTAAGTATGCTCCTAACCCTAAGCCTTGTACGCCTTCGGATCTATGGCCCTCAGTTATCCCCCTTTTCTCCACCTCCTTACCAAGACCCCCTGACCGTCCAAGTATGCCCTATAGACTCGGAGCCCGAAAATGATTGTATTTCGAAGTTCCTGAGTGGTCCTGAAACCTAAACCCCAAGTGGTACTCCATCCGGTTAAAGACCCCACAAAGTCCTACAAGCCCAGTTTAGGGTTTAGGGTTCAGGGCCTAAAGTTAGGACCAAGGAAATAAGTAGGGGCACATTACCGGCCCACTGAGCTCTGTAAACCCTGAAACCTAATCTCTTAACCCTAACCCTTCAAGCCTAATCCCTAAGCCCGAAACCCATCTCTAAATCCTAATCCCTAAACCCAGGGTTAGGACCTTCATAATCCTTAAGCCCTAAAGCCATCTCTATATATCCTAATCCCTAGACCCATGGTTAGGACCCTCAAACAATGCTGAGCCAGCAGGCCATCACAGGGGTGACCAGTCCGGCGGCCGCCAGAGGCCATGAAGAGTGCGAGGAGGCCTTCGTGCTCGGCGAACTATGGGTTTAGGGTTTAGGGTTTAGGGGCTTCCCAAAATTAGGGGTAGAGTCCCCCTTAAGTAGATAGAACATGGCTTTGGGTATACTATAATAAGATCCCCATATACCCCATATTCTATCTACTTAAGGGGGACTATAGCTTTAAAAAGGGGTTATATAGGGGCTACATAGGGTTGAGGGTTTAGGGTTTAAGGGTTTCCCAACAATTAGGGGTACCATTTTGGGGGTTTTTGGGGTCCCTATAACAGGGATTACAATATTTGGGGGTCTATGTTGGGGTCCCCCTATTTACGGATAATTACTACTTGTCTGTGCCGCTGGGTTTGAAGAGGCATATGAGGATTCTAGGTTCAAGGGGTTTATGTGGAAGGTTGTCAAATGATAGACCTATGCATGCAGGATCACCATTTTCAGGAACATGGTTTAGGATTTCGGGCTGCGGGCCAGCCACTAGGCTTCTGGTGTTCTGATGATCAAACTGTGTTCCAGCAAAAGGCAGCCTACGATTTCCCCTGTGTTGTTCTGTGGGTATTTCCAAGCATAATGCCTGTGAAATTGTATCACGGGCGCTTCTACCTCAGAGAACCATCACGCCAAAGTGTACAAAAACCTGCAGATATATGCATGTTGTAGGTGGTTACCAGCTAAGATTTGAGATCATGCTGTAACGAAAACTCTCTTCCCCAATAACCACCGCGAAAAAAGTTTCAACTTTATCATAGAGACCCAAAAAGGAAGCCCAAAAGGTTAAAGTTCTTCTATTGGCTAAGCAAGAACAGTCCAGAAGGCACCCTTCTTTGATGGGAGGCACCAGATACACAAGGCCCTCGTCTATAGCGCAATGATGTGGCGGCTTGGGTTGCGCGACCCAACCAGCATCATTTTTGGGGAAATGAATTTGGACAGCGCATGGGCTTTTATGATGTATTGAGGATCGAATCGGGATCTTAGTCTCTATCACCTTGTCAAAGAACAGGACCAAGGAAGACAATACCCAAAGAAGTACAAAGGATTAAACACTTCAAATCACAGCTATCCTCAACCTCAAGCCCGATATACATGTGTGTATGTTTATCACATAGAAATACGGTAGTTTCCCAAAATCAGGGGACCCCAATATAGAC